TGTAAATGGAACCAATCAGGTAACGGAAGAGCCTAGAGAACACGACGTCCGCGATAACGGAATAATGCTCACAGAAGTAACAAATGCAACGGGAAATTCGGCTGGTGCTAAACTGAGGTGCTTGTACACGAATGCCCAAAGCCTCATATCGAAACTAGACGAACTAAAACTTTGCCTTGTTGAGCAGTCTCCAGATGTTTTAGCAGTAACTGAGACCTGGCTGTCCGGGAATATTAGCGATAACGAAGTAGCCTTGCCTGGATACCAAATTTATCGGAGGGACAGGGAACATCGTCAGGGTGGTGGTATCGTTGTGCATGTGAATGACGGTCTGGCAGTGTCGGATAACACCACCAAGTTTGTGTGCAGTACGGAAGCTATCTGGTTGACCATCAAGGCTACCGGTTCCCCCTGTCTCGATGTCCTCACTGTCTACCGACCACCTCGGACAGACCGAATCGCCGACACTCAACTATTGGAGCAGTTGGAGAAATTTTCCAGTCGACCTAACATCATGATCATGGGCGACTTCAACGCACCAGGAACAAACTGGAATACCCTCCAAGCGTCAGGTCCAAAATCGGCATTCGATAACCGCCTGTTGAGCAAGACATTAAATGCGTGCCTCACACAACATGTAATGTTCCCAACGAGAACACGTGAAGGACAAAGGGCAAACTGCCTGGATCTGGTCTTTACGAAAACACCAGACAGCATAGACGAGATCGCCTCCATGCCGCCCCTTGGCCGAAGTGACCACGTAGTGCTTATGTGGGATTATTCGTTATTCTCCATTTCACACACTCCAGGCCACAAAAGGCGTAATGTTTGGCGGGGCGATTTCAATCAGATGAGGGCAGACTTATCCGGTCTTGACTGGGGCTCTTTGTTTATGGGAAGTGCCAACGATGACTGGGAGCTGTTCAAGAATGTCCTTCTGCAGCTCATCAACAACCACTGCCCACTGACTAGTGTAAGACTGAACAAACGCCCTGGGTGGCTAAATAGCAACCTCAAAAAAGAAATCAACAGGAAGCACAAATTGTTTAGAAAATACTGCGTCACTAGACAAGCTGAATGCTTCAACACCTACAAGACACAGAGGAACAAACTGAGGAAGCTGATAATTCAGACGCGGCGGGAATTCGAGAAGAACTTGCTACAAAAAGCAACGCAGAACCCAAAATTGCTCTACAGCTACCTCCGACGAACTACAAGGAACAGGCATCAAATCCCCTTGATAAAGACTACTGATGGCGTTGAGATCGCTGATAGTAGGGATAAAGCTGCGTATTTTTCACGGTTTTTCCAATCAGTCTATACAAACGAGGCAAGGTTCCTTCCTCCCTCCACAGAAGAACTGCCGACTCCAAGCGTCAGTGATATACTCTTCTCAGAAGGCATTGTCCGAAGAGAATTAGAGGCATTGAACGAATCGAAGTCGCCAGGACCAGACGAGATTCCACCCAAGCTTCTGAAGGAACTTGCCCGTGAGTTCTCTGTGCCTTTGTCGATGCTCTTTCAAACGTCATTTGACACTGGAACACTTCCTGTCGATTGGAAGCTGGCGCATATTACTCCGCTACACAAAGGAGGTAACAGGGCAGCGACGACAAATTACCGGCCCATAAGCTTGACATGCATTCTCTGCAAAGTTATGGAAAGTATCATAAAGTGTGAACTGATGCAATTCCTGGAAGTTCACGGCCTGCTATCGAAATGCCAACATGGGTTCCGAAAAGGAAGATCCTGCACGACAAACCTGCTGCAATCTCTCCAGAGCTGGACCCAAGCTCTCGACGACAGGCACGCGGTCCACATAGCCTTCATCGACTTCCAGAAGGCTTTCGACACTGTGCCACACCAAAGGCTTTTACATAAGCTGAAAAAAATAGGGATCGGTGGCAACTTCCATAAATGGATCGAAAACTTCCTTGTGGGTCGACACCAGGTTGTGTGCGTCGGTCGGGGAAAATCAGATCCGGCTATGGTCGAAAGTGGTGTCCCCCAGGGTTCAGTTCTGGGACCCATTTTGTTCCTTATCTACGTGGACGATGCCGCAAGAGATTTGGACTGTGAAGTAGCAATGTTTGCGGACGACATAAAGATATGGAGTGTAATTCGTGGTCCTGCCGATGAAGACAGACTGCAGATGAACCTGAATCGGTTGGAGGAGTGGTCAAACCGTTGGCTCCTGCGGTTCAACGTTGCCAAATGTAGCATACTTCGCCTAGGCAATACAGCCAGATCCGCCAGAACAAGAGGCTACTTTCTGGGCGGTGCAGCCCTACAAGAGGTCGAAGCCCAAAAGGACCCCGGTGTGCTTACGACGAGTTCCCTAAAACCATCCGCCCACTGTTCGAGGGTGGCAAAAACCGCAATGTCCGTACTGTACGCCATCAAGCGTGCGTTTATGGACTTTGACGAAGAAGCCTTCTCTAAGACATTCGGAACATTCGTCCGGCCGCATTTAGAGTACGGCATACAAGCTTGGAGGCCGTGGGGTGTTGTGGATCAAAACTGCCTCGAAAGAGTCAAGAGGAGAGCCACGAAGATGGTCAGGGGTCAAAGCTCCTTTCCTTATGCGACCCGCCTAGTAAATCTGAACCTCTTTCCTTTGAGTTACAGGCAACTTCGCGGAGATCTCTTGCAAGCCTTCCGCATTGTAAAGGGGTTGGATTGCAGTCTGGCCTTCGAGGACTTTTTTGAATTTGCTACCACGACCAACCTCCGAGGTCACCCGTTAAAACTGCGCACTCAGCAGGCACGGCTGGATGTGCGGAAGTTCTCCTTCTCGGTTCGGGTGGTCAAACCGTGGAATGAGCTTCCCGCAGATGTTGTGATGTCACCATCTATACAAAGTTTTAAGAAGAATCTGGACATATTTATGTTCCGAAATGACCAAGAGCGATGAGAAGTCGAGCTCACCCCCTGTAACTCCTTCTCATTTTGTCCCACCATTATGGGCGTGTTCGAACTATTTCAGCCCAGAACATCTATCTGTACACCACACATTTTTTACGTTGCAAATAGGGTACTCAAAGGCTTACGCCTATTTCCCTCAATAAACTGAACTGAACTGGTCTACCTGGACGATGTCGTCGTACACGGGTCTACGGTCGAGTCCCACCTTGATAACCTAGAAACCGTCTCTAACCGTCCACAGATCGTATGCCTTAAACTGAACCCGGCTAAATGCTGTATTCTCAAAAAGTCTGTCCCTTTTTTGGGTCACATCGTCTCAACTGAAGGAATTAAGACGGATTTCGAGAAGACTGAGCAAATACGCCGTTGGTCGCAACCAACGTCAGTTTCCGCTTTGTGCGTTTTTTTCTGTCTGGCCTCCTATTATCGCCGGTTCATTAAGGATTTTGCACACATAGCCGCACCCCTTAATTTTTTCGCTAGCAAACACAACGCTTGAAACTGGTCCGACAAGTGTGAGCGTTCCTTTGAGGAACTTAAACGGCAGTTGATCTCCCCTCCCTTATTGGCCTTCCCCAAAATATCCGAGTCAGCCCCACCTTTCATTTTGGACACTGATGCTTCAGATGTAGCCATTGGGGCAGTCCTGTCTCAACAGCAACCCGATGGACTGGAACATCCCCTCATTTTTGCCAGCAAGACGCTGAGCAAGCCTGAGCGTAATTAATCTACCACTCGCAATTAGCTTCTCACCGTCGTAACCTTTGTCAAGAAACTCCATCACTATCTCGCTGACAAACGGTTCATTTTACGCACCGACCACCAGGCGCTGCGCTGGGTGGAAAACTTCAAGGATCTGACCGGTCAACTCGATGGCTGGCTGACCTCTTAGAATATTCTTACAATGTCATCCGTCGGGCCGGTAAAAAGCACCAGAATGCCGATGCCTTATCTCGTCGAGCACAGACGCCACCACCGGACGCCGCATACGCCCCAGCAACTGCAATTACGATTTTCACTCCCAACCACTCAGGTTGGGCGTCGGCTCAAACTTCAGACCCCTATATATCTCTTATCTATGATCGGTTATGTCAGGGTGCTCCAAAACCGTCAAGCGAAGAAATGAAGGACTCCAGTTGGGAAGCTCGCTGCATTTGGTCATCGTGGAACGGCCTTCGCCTCTGTGACGGCCTGCTCTTTCTTCAATATTCTCCCCCCGACCCCCGTCGTCTGGTTTTGCCGCATGATGCGATCCATCCCACACTTTCCCGTCCTTATGCTGATCTGGGACACGCTGGTCAAGCTTGTACCGACACCGACGCACGTCAGCGTTTCTGGTGCCCGAATCAACGACGGATCATTCAGGACATTTGTAACACGTGCCCTGTATGTGCCGAAATCAAAAATCCCAACCCTACACAACGCGCGCCACTGCAGCCCATTCAGGCGGGTTACCCGAATGAAATTGTCGGTGTCGATCTGACGGGTCCTATGCCTCCTTCCCCCCCCCCGCGGAAATTGTCATATTTTAGTTTTAATGGACTTTTTGACTAAGTGGCGTGAAGCGGTACCGCTTCCAAAAGCCGACGCCATCAATGTCGCTAAGGCCATCTTTAGCGAGTGAATCTGCCGCCGTGGGGTGCCCGAGCAGCTCCATTCAGACCAGGGTGCTCAGTTCGAGTTCCGGCTTATGGGAGAACTCTGCAAACTTCTTCGTATTCGTAAATCTCTTTCTACCCCGTGGCACCCTCAAGGCAATGGGAAAGTAGAGCGCACGAATCGGACTCTCAGAGGTTTGATCCAATATTTCGTTAACGGTTGCCCTGGTTCCTCTTGGGATGTCGCTCTCCCACATTGCCTTCTTGCCTACCGTTCCGCCAAGCACTCGTCAACGGGTCATACGCCGTTTGCCCTTTTGTACTGCTGCGAAGTCCGTCTTCCCCTGGACACTTTCAGTCCCCTCCCACTTCCGTCCCCCAAGTTTCCCCACGAGTTTTTCCGAAACCTTAGAGCTAACCTATCTCGTACACATGAGCTTGCTCGCACCTATCTATCCACGGCCCATCAGCGACAAAAAGAGTACTATGATCGCCGTGCGAACCGTGCACTCTACCCACCCGGCGATAAAGCATTTTGGTTTAAGGATAGGTTGCCCACTGGGTCAGCCGACAAGTTCTCCACGCATTGGATAGGGCCTTTCGTTGTTGCACAAGTCCCTTCAGAGGCCCATTTTATCCTCAGGGCCTCTGATGATCCAGAGGGTCCCACCTTTGCGGCTCACTTCAACAAGCTCAAACCATACCCCTCAGATGATAGCTCTTGCGGCCCTGTCTCTTCGAAGTTATCTTCAGTCCCCTCTGCGGAGCTGCCGAACCTTCCCACGGATCCCTCTTGAATCGTCTCCGTCCCCTCTTCTCCTATCACTCCGGCGGTCCCTATGTCCCCCCTTTCCTCAGTCTTTTGCCTCCGTTGGTTTCTCGTACGGTGGAAATCCCTCCCTAAGGTGGTTTCGGCATCCCACCCGACGGCCTTATCCCTGGCTCTCGTACCGATGTGACATCGGTCCTACGGAAGGGAGCAGTGTGATGGGAAACTCGCCATGGCTATCCCCTTATTATAGTCATATTTCTCTGATTTGATCTTAACTCATTGTAGAAACCGAAGAACCAATCCTGGGCGAGGACACAGAAGAGGACGCCTAATTGGACAAGGACGACACTCCGGTTTTCCCCGTGGCGTGTGGGGTTGGATCTTCCGGCTGCCTGCTTGTGTTTCACTTTTTCTCTCTCTTGAGCACCTTTGTGTCTCGTTCCCCCCTTTTCTCTCCCGCCATTTCCGTTCCCTAATAAACACTCTCCCTCCTTCGACGAGATCTTCAGTATCAGTATCGGTGTGTTTCAGGGAAAATAGGTGTGTACCTTTGAAACTCTGAAACCATCGTCTCACTGCGCCAAGGTATCAAAGAAAGCTATGGGTATTCTAGGCACGATTAGAAGATCCTTTGTCAATTTTGATGAAGAACTTTTCGGCCGCGTATTTGGCGCATACGTTCGACCAATGTTGGAATATTGTGTCCAGGCACGGTGTCCCTGGACGAAAAAAGATGACACCCTACTGGAGAACATACAACGTAGAGCGACCAGGCTAGTCGGCGGATTATGTGGCTTACCTTATGAGAGACGGCTGGAGAAGCTAAAAATATTTCCTCTCTCTTATAGACAATACAGAGGGGACATGATCATGGCCTTCAGGATCGTCCGAGGGCTAGACTGTGCTCTTCAGTTTGACGACTTCTTCGAACTGGCGCGGAGGACAAATCTCCGAGGCACCCGTGCAAATTGAAGACGAAACATGCCAGACTCGATTTGCGGGCCAAATTCTTCTCTCACCGGCTGGTTGAGGAATGGAACAAATTGCCGAACTCCGTTGTCTTAGCGGAAATCGTCGAGACTTTCAAAAGAAGACTAGATAAACTTATGCTTGATGGTCAAACATTTACATGATATCAATGACTGGCATAACTGCTATGTAAATGTCTACATGTTTTTTTTTTCATACGTCTATCTGTCAATAGGGTTTTCTAAGGCTCTGCCTCTATCCCTCATATATGCTGAATTATACTGAATTGGTTACAAACAGAGGTCAAGGTCTTGCCGCTGGATTTAAATTTGAAGATAAGTGGAGGATATTATTTTAAGTGGTTTTCCTGTGAGACCTAATGGTTTTAGCCCCTGCTTTCTTGGCAAAATCTCCTTAAATACAGGCCTATTCACTCTGAACAGCCTGTTGCCATCTCCTTTTTGAGTTCTGCTAGTCTGTGCCTGTTGATCACCAGTCGCACTCTGCACTTCTCATTTCTTGCCTTAGATTTCTTTCTAATTGTGTAATTTATTTTAACATCGTTAGCCCCTAGTTGAAATTCAGTCTCCTTGTCCGCCAGAAGTTTTCTTAATCACAACTTGCCTCGAGACAAGATGAGACCAAAAGTCGCACGTCGGCGTAAGCTCTCGGTCTCTTTACGTAAGCATGGCCTTACTAAACCTAAGTCAGAAGGCTTACCTAAACCTAAGTCAGATGGTATTACTAGCCAGTCGTCACCCGCTGTAATTGTCCGGCAGGTTAATCTGTCTGCACTTGACAACTGCAATGACTTTATGCTACAGTTTGGCACTTTGCTGTCAATTCTTGGAAATTTATTCGACGGGAACATCTCCGATATTCCCTCTGAAGAATGTAGGCGCCTCGACTCACTTGTTTACCTGATCGCCAGTAAATATAGTGAAAGACAAAATTGTTCTTACAACTTTCTGTTAAAAAAATGTTCCTCGATCTGCTCGGCCAATTAAGGTTGCGATCAATTACCTTTATTCATGTGGTTTCAACTACAAAATAGCCGATGCTAAACGCTTGTCCTCCCGTAGCGAAAATCCACCCATCTTAGTCAAACCATTTTCGTCAATCGAGGTAGACGCAATCTTTGCCCGTCGAGATCGTGTCACAGCGTACCTGGAAAATGCAAAATGTTTCCTTTGTCATAATCTTACTCCTATGGAGCGTAGAATCAAGTCTCTATTCTCATGTAAATCCACTGCTTCTCAGTCTAGTGCTCACTAACTCGGTCATAATGCAAATAGCCGTGAGGATTTTGCTTGTCCTACCCCTGCGACATCCGACTCCTACCTTCCCCTTTCTCCTACATCTCCATCTCACTCAAGCCACTTGACGCATTTGCCTGCCCCTGAACTTGCAGCAGCAGCAGCAGCAGCAGCCCCATTAGCCGTTTCGTATCCTCCAGATAGCTCCGCTGGTACACATGAAAATTGGTCCACATCAGCTAGACTGATACCTTCCCCTGTTCAACTGGGTGCTGCAAGCTCTACAATTAAGTCACCTGTAGTATGGCGTCAGAACGGTGAGACTCCAAAACTAGGTCGGACTCCGACCCAAAATAAAGGTAGTACAGTTTCATTTAGGGGTATGCCGCCTTCTTTTAGATAGAATAGAATAGGTTTATTGTAACGCCCCTTGGGCACTGTCAGTCCCCTGTCAGCCCAGCACGTCTACAAACCCCGCAGCTCCAATTACATCCCCAAATAATTCTCTGTCCTGCGCACCGGTTACTCCTCAAAGCCCTACTATATATCCAGCAAATAATTCCTACACGAATTGCCCTAAGTCATTTATGCCCCAACCAAGTTCAGGCTTCTCACCACTTACGGCCAATTTCTCTCAGGTACGTCAACCTACCTCCTTTGACTTCCAACCTAGATCTGGTTTCCCACCCTTTTATTCTTATAGCTGCCTATCCTCACCCACTAGTTTCTCTTTTCCTTCTAGGCTCCCTCCTCCTCCCCTTCCTCCACAATTTAACTGTCAACAAGCCTATCCATGTTCTAACTCCCCTAGCATTCCCATGTTCTAAAACTATATCCACACATCCTTTAGGTCTCATGTTCAGCCTTCTCTTGCTGACTCACCGTACGTCAATAACTCTAGACAAACTGGTGCTTATTCTCCAAGCATCATTAATTCACAGCTTACATATCCTCCTCCAAATTTTTTGAATACCGTAGACAATAACATTGCTGTTCGAAACATATTATATGTTAAATTATTGAATGCCAGGTCTGTAATAAACAAGATGGCCCAGATCAGAACCATTGCTCTCGAAATCACGCCTGATGTTATATGTGTAACAGAATCTTGGACCCATTCTCTAATTCCTGACCCTGTCCTTCTCATAGATGACTTCGATTTTTACCGTCAAGACCGCACGACTAGGCGTGGAGGAGGTTGCCTTCTTTATCTGAAATCTTACCTTAAGCACTCTCCCTATTACTTGGATGTTTCCTCATTCACGGGAAGCTTCTGCTTTGTGTCTGCCATTCTCTCGCCGCAAAGAAAGTCAATTATTGGCTGTATCTACAATCCTCCAAATTCTCTAGCCATTGATGATTCACAACTCTGTGAAATCTTTAAATTAGTTTCGGAAGCTGCTTTCGATGTTAAAATAATTGCTGGGGATTTTAACCTTCCTGAAATAGACTGGGTTTCCAATAACTGTCCGCCTAGATTCCAGCCCTTTCAAGATATTGTCAATTTTTCTAACTGGTCCCAATTGGTGCGCTCTCCAACAAGAGAAAATCACATTTTAGATCTAATCTTTACCAATGACATTGCTCCTCTTTCTGTTGCTTTCAAAAAGGACCTCTTTGACAGTGACCACTATTAATTCATTTTTGCTTACCGATTGCCTTATCAAAAAAAGACCAACACCGTTCGGACTTACATAGACTACCATTGCGTAGGTAACAACTTAATAATTAATTATATTAGATCATTGTATTGGTGTGGCTTCCTCTCCTGTAGCGATGTGACCATCCTTCGTGACGTCATGCCCAATGTTTCCAAGGACATCCTAGAGTTTGTGCCGCGTAGATATCTCAAGCCTAATTCTTCGGATTCCCTTGTTCCTCATTTTCTTCACAGCAGACTAAAAAGTTGAGACGGCAGCTGCATGACCCATCCACTAGTTCCTTATCAGTTCATCTTAGAACTACAGAGATGTTTGAGACGGCCTCAAGGATGCGCTAAGCGCGCGACAGGCAAAGAGAATCACTTGCCCTCAGTGATTCGAACCGTGGCAAATCCGGCGATAACATCTTCCGTCATCGGTCCTCCTCTAAGCGTGGTCGCAAACTTCCCCCTGCTAAATGATAACAAAGTCTTCCTAATCAATGACACAGACAAGGCGGATGTTTAGTGCTTCTTTTGCAAGACACCTTAACACTGAGTCCGAATCGGTCTCCTTTTTCACTCACTTTCAGATAGGAAACTGAGTACAGTCGATGTCTCCTCAGATCTCATTGTGGAACACATAAGTCGTCTGAAAAACTCACACTGCTCAGGAACGGATGGGATTCCAATTTCGATTATTAAGCAAGCATTCGGCCTTCCCATATTGCTTAGTCATTTATTCTCGGTTTATGTTTCGAAAGGATTCTTTCCTGAAACATGGAAAACGTCAATTATCATTCCCGTCTTCAAGTCAGGATCTCGGTCCGATGTTAATGACTACCGGGGTGTGCACAAAACGCCGTCTCTATCAAAGCTTCTTGAAAGGATTATTTTCAATGAAATTCTTGACTTCTGTCTAGCTAATCGGCTTCTGAGCTCTAGTCAGCATGGATTTTTACCTGAACGATCCTGCAAAACATGCCACTTGGCTTTTCTTAATCTAATCACTTCTCTTCGTAATGAGCGGCAGTCAGTGGTAGTTATTTACTTTGATCTTAGCAAAGCCTTTGACAAGGTGCCCCATAGACGTCTTTTAGTAAAATTGGAAGCCCTCGGCATCCGGCCGCCTCTACTCGACTTCCTCAGGTCCTATCTGTC